GATTTATGAAACGCCCACAGCCCAGTTCCTGACTCTTCTCCGACAAATATAATAACTTCGTGTAACATAGTTCGAAACCATATCGTTCATTCCGCTGTTTTCGCTGTTTTGGTACGTTAAGCGTATACATTGATATTTCGGGTGTTGAACGTTATTTTCTAGAGCTGATATTTTGTTTTCCAGGTAAGGAGATGATTTTTTTTCTATTATGTATACTATATCTAGTCTACTAAGTGTAATTAGCAGCCTCAGTTTTGCAATTTTCTTTGTATATTATATACATTGCAATCCAGAAAACATTTCGACATGTTCGTCGTTAAGTAGCGATCAATCAGCTGTCGATCAGTGCAGACAGTAAATTTCTTTTATCTGCAAGTTCAATCTCTTGACAAATCAAATTAGAAGATGTTTTTCTACCTTCTCGCTCGGCAAAATGTCTGAAATTCCAACGCAGAGAAAAATACGGCTTTGAAGCTACTTCTCGAAAATAAAATGACCCGAAGACAAGCCGCTAAGGCTTTCAATATTTCAAAAACGACGAATGCGAAGACAGATACTCGTCGAATGCACAGATCAAGAAAATATTAATTATTTTACCTGTGATTTATGTAAAAATCAAATTTGGATAAGACTGTGTATTCTAACATCTTTTTTTTAACATTGTTAGTCATTTAGAGTAAAAATCTACTAGTTACATAATTGATCGGTACTGGACGGCAATTTTTCGTTTCCTACGAGTTACAATATTTTTGTATTCTTACAAACGATTAATTCCCATTGTTGAATTTGACGAAATTAATAATCTCCCTCCTCTTATTATGCTTCATTTGCACTACCAATTCATTTTGTTAATTTTAATTTCTACCGACTCTATCCTAAGATAAAGCGAACAACTTGGAGCGATCGATACTGTTTTTCTCCTGATTACATTATTTACAACCAATCTCCCTTCTCTTATTATGCTTCATTTGCACTACCAACAATTAATCTTCCTCCTCTTATTACGCTTCATTTGCACTACCAACTCATTTTCTTAATTTTAATTTCTACCGACTCTATCCTAAGATAAAACGAAGATCTTGATTACTTTATTTACAACCATCGTCATAATCGTTATTATTCACAACCAAGGAAAAACCGCCAGACGACCAGCTCGCGTAAATGCAAATTCCAAACCGCCAACTTTGCTTGTATTAGCATTATGTGTTAAATGAAAGATAAAGAATGAGATAATTTATCCAAATCTCAAAAATCTTTTCACTTTCATGAAAAATGAACAAAATTAATTTCAAAGCATTAAAATGTGGCTTGTTTTTCTGGAGAATTCAAAATTCGTAGCTGCTCTCTTTGGTTTTTATATCTACAGGGTCATCCACCTAAAGCCTAAATTTATTCGTTCGTGGATTTATTCGTTCAAACTGACAACAGTTGTGTCATGATTCCGTCTAGACAGACATGGAACGTGCATGTAGCTCGGAACCCACACGCGCCAGACTAAATGAGAATAGCAACAGTGCAACATACACTCAGGGTACTACAATCACGTGCGGACGGCAGTGCAGTTAGAAAGTTTCAGAACTTTCCTTTACGTTACCACAAATAAAGAAATAAAGAACATTTAGATACGTAAAAGATTCTTTCGTGTACAATTCTGTTGATTATTGTTAAAATAAAAATGTCAAATATATCACAGGGTATATAGTTCCCTTTATGGGTAGCAAGTTTTTGTGAAATTTTTTTGCTAGACGCTCGAACGCTCGGCAAACGTTCGGCTTTCGCGTTGAGAACTTGCTATGCTTCCATTCACTTGCCCTTAGAATCGTTGAGACTAGTCGTGTCGAGTGTTTTTCTATCAAATGAAACGCGATAATCGTAAAGTATTAAATGTATCTCATCGTAAAAGGCACCGTATTCCTCAACAATTTCAAGAAAAACATCAAATAATCGTTCGTTAACAAAATGTGAAAGAATTTTCGGAAACGGTTGACATCATACTAGCTCACAATCAATTCTGTTTTGCTTTCGATGTAGGCTAATTCTCTACTAAAGAGTAGGAGTATAAAGCAAATCATTCTTATTTCTATTCTAAATACGAAGTTATAATATATACGAATATTAATCGTCGTAGCTTTGTTTATTTTCACAATGGGCGCGTACAGCGAAAAAAATTACAGAAAGAGGGGAGAATGTCAAACTCTATCGCTCTTGCTCTGTTTATATTTTCGCACGTTGCTCTACGACCCTCAGGGCAGACTTCCTTGTCCGCACTCCGCTCCTCGCTTCTGCTGTTCATTCGTCCCGCTCTCACTCCGCGACTGCCTTGTTTTCTTTAACCTACTATGTATATGCTACCACCATCTCGTTCGGTGGTATAAAAGCAGCATCTCGCTCGAGATTCAAATGTCACATAATATTCGTCCTTTGGCAATTCCTCGTCGAAGAAAAGCCAACGCACTACGATCTATCACAGATATGTTATCTTTGAAATATCTACAGTTCATGATATATATATGTACCGTATATATTATACTTATCGTAACACGAAACCAAGTTGCAAAAAGTTTCCGTCACCAACGTATGTGGATGGTAGGCGAGAACACGGAGCGATTGTAGTTGTCGCCAGGGAAGCTTAAACATAACGCCGCTCATAAGAACTAGAAAAATTTACCGAATGTCCAGCTAGACAAATTGTAAAGTACGAATTAAATAGTAATAAAAGAAAAAAAACTCACAAGAGGCACAAGTCGCTGTTCTCCATACAATGAAGAAAAGCGTTTTGACCTAACTCAATTTTATCTTCCTGGAACCTCACGAAGCTACGGTGAAAAATAAGCGCAGCCGCTTCTGTGCACTTTTTCCTGTAAGCTACATTTCGCTACAATGCAATTACAATGCAATTATTTGCATTTTTACAAACGTTACGATCCTTCCTCTATCTCGTTTGGGATTATTTGTTCTTAACGTATTCGACATTTTCTTTTACATCTAACTTAAAAGTTATCAACGATGATTTTCTGCAAATTCACCGGTATTACTCGACTTTGAATCGCTTTGCTGCGTATGTCTCGAATACGAGGATGAGAAACAGAGAGACATAGCGATACATTTAACAAAATTCATACTTAGACAAACTAGTTTTAGAAAATAGAAATCAATTTAATTACAGCCATGTTTGGTATCATTATCATTGTAACAGTAAACTAAAAAATTTAGAAACTTTATTTTTTTGTTGAGACGATTATTGCGCTGGATTAAGTTTTCCTTCGCTTCCAATATGTATAATATCCTAATTGTATACAGGGTGGTCCACTCAACTTGCACACTCCGAATAACTTTTAAAGTATGCGTAGTAGAATAAATGTTTTTATACAAAAGTTGCATAGTTTTGAGCGGCACTTCATAAGGAATATGCACTTTTCTTATACGCGAAGGTGTTTCAGTGACTTCAAGGTCAACTTTATTTTTTTAAGCGGGGTCATATTTTTTAATGCATTAATCGAAGCATCCCAGGATTCTCTATAAAAATAAGAGCATTAACTTATTTATGAAGGACAACGTAAACACAAGAATATCGCTTCTTTCATACGTTAAATTTGACAAATTAATGTTGAAATATCTGCTAAACTAATAGTCTTTCGACACAAATAGGTCAATCCGTTTTTGTACAAAATGTGCAGCCGGATCGACTTTGTCCAAAACGCGTTCACCTGCGGAAACACTAATCGTGCCAAATTATGTCCCTTTCGAAACCATTCAACCTGTACCTGAAATATCGTTTAATGCTATCGAACGCAAGCGAGATATTTTAGGTGATAACGTTATATAGGACACCCTGTCCTATGTACAACATATGTCTAATGTATAAGATGTAAAAAATATGTTTTAATACTAATATACTTTTCTACGCCTTGGAATTAGCGGAGGTTTATAAAAAAAGGTTGGTGCAAAAGTGACCTAAACTTTAATATTCAAGATCAGCTTTGTTTATTGCAACGTATTCTATTCGTCAGAAGGGGAAAAAGTCGGTGCGTATAATTTTGTAATAATTTGAAATTATGATGTTAGATGCTTTATTCTGTTCAGGTCGCACTACTTTACGCATTGTTTCCTCGTTAATATCTCATTATTTACATTCTATATGACTTTAAAATGTAAACGTGTAAATAACGTGGTGGTAAGAGCTAGTGAAACTTTAATAGCTTTTTTCAAGAGAACCATCGGGTCGCAACCCACGGCTCCATTGGCAAGTTTGATTCTCGTGACGAGTAAAATATGGCGCAAACAAAAAAGTTTTACCTTCAAATTTTAAGAGCAACCGAGTATGTGGAATCTCGCTGCGATGATCGTGACACCTACTTTCCCAACACCCTGTACATACACACAACCACGGTTTGGCTTTGGTTTCAGGGATGAATTTGGCCTCGAAATAAGCAAACTCGCCATCCCCTCCTCGTTATTTGAAATCGCTGGCAGAGTGGGAGATTCGAGAACGAGCGGAGTCCATGAAAGCGATGAGACATAAATCTTTATGGTCGAACGAGCAGCGACGACGTTTAGTAGAAGAAGAATAGAATATGTATAACGTTTTCTCACTCCAGCGATGTTACTATATATATGATATTACTATATATATTTATACAGGACTTATATATATTTGAGGATTTCACGATCAGTTACATATCTCGAAAAGTACGTTATATGTCACTCGTTTCTTATTTTTCAGCTGTTTTCCAAGTCATTTGAAGATCAGCTTTGCTGTTTTTAAATGGAAAGTGTACCTTTTCTTCAGAGATTCTTATTCTACTGGAAGAAAGAAGAAACTTTTATAGGAAACATTTTTTTAGTAAACCTTACCTTGAAAAGATATTTATTCGATTAAAAGTTTATTTCAGTTTTTGTATTTCCAAAGTAGCGGAAGGAAAATTATGCAACAAAAAGTAAGTTCCTTTAATTTTTCTGGTCATTATTAGCGATAAGGTAAAATCAATGACAATGTGCTTTTTTACGACATTGCTTTATTTTAAAAACAGTTGAATTTGAAAATAGATCATACTACTGTTTAGAACAAGATGGAAAACATTTGGAAAACATTTTACGATATTTCGATTTTGAGTAACGATCACCCAAGTTAACCGATTTTGATCCGAATCATAATGAAACATATAGTAATATCCAAATAAGGATTGTCGATTGAAGCTAGATAAACGAAGATTGAGTCTTTAAATTAATGTTTGAGTAAATTTACTTTCCATCTTCCTCTACTTTTGTTTGACAGAAAATAGTCTTTTTAAGTTATGATTACTGAAGGAAGGCTTTCCTTCGTCTATGCCATGTCATTGTATAAAATGTTTATTATTGCTTCTCCCATTACTAACACCGCTCGATTATTATACGCGTATTTCCTTATAATTTCTCTAAGCAAGTTTAAATCTGTCTTCTTTCTTGTTATCAAACTTAATTCCGATTTGTCCGTTTCTGCTGCTTCGTTTTCGTCTTCTTCTCCTTCGTTTATTTCTTCGCTTATCTCTTCTTCTTGCTCATTTTCTGGAATACCTTCATCATCGTCAAACCTTCCTACAGGATCTTCATCATAAATGTCATATTCATCAACTTCCTCCTCATTGTAATTTTCGTTGGAAACATCTCTGATTCTTTCTTCAATTTCCTCTCTTGAAGCTGTTTCTGCTCTACGAACTCGCACTGCGCCGACTTTATATCGGCTCTTAAATTCGGCTAACCATCTCTTGTCTCCAGTAAGCGAACTTCCTTCCTGTTCACCACACAGTTCGATTGCTTTCTCTTGTATTAATGGATCAGTTAATTCTGCCCCTATTGCTTGTTGATCCAGGATCCACGCATACAAACAATCTTCCACTTCTTCGTTCAAAGATCTTCTTCGATTTTTATGTTTTGATGAATGGCCTCTTCGCTTTCTAAGACGTATCAAGTGTTCGTTCTCGCGACAAATACTATGTATGACATCTCGCGAAACTCCATACTGACGAGCTAAATATTTCACTGACATCCCTCTCTTCAATTCTTCAACAATCTCGTTCTTGTGTTGCACCGAGAGGAAAGTTCTTCTCTTCCTTCGGTTTTCTGACATGATTAAAGAAAACACAATACTTCGTAACTTGAACTTTCCGCGCCGTTTTAACTGTCTCGTACTGCTCGATCAGTACTTGTCGAGAGACTGAGACCAACCTCAGAATTGTAGGAATTTTGTGCTCCGATTCAGGTAAAAACGTTTGTTTTTCCGAAAAAATATTCATGTGACCTCGTCAAAGAACATATCGCTATTTTTACGGCAAACACAAACGGCACCTACTCATCATCTAATTATTTGATGTAAATGTATACTACCCGACTGCGATAAACATGGAATTTTTCTTTAAATTTGATAGTCTTAATTATCCGTATCTTTTATTGTTTTATATTTGCATTCACATCGGCAGTTTAGGGAACGTTTTAAACATTTTTGACTAAATATTCCGTGTATTATTTATAACTTGATAACAATATACTAGCAATAATGATACGCTGCGACAATGACATAACTCAGAATTTGAAGTTTTTCAGTTATTGATATAGAAAAAGTGGATCTTGTTTGTACTTCTTGCTGGTAAAGCCTGATAAGTGAGCCTTATTTTCAAAAATAAGTATACGAGGGCAATTGTACCGTTGTCTTTTGTTTACGTTTGATACAATACAAAATATTCAAACTCGGTTTCCCTAAAATCGTGATTCTTCAGTCATGTCATTCTTGTGGCAAACGAGCGACGCACTCATACTACAGTAATTATAAAAAATAAGAGCGTTTCATCCATCGCTTAGATACCAGAACAACAGGTCCTGTGTCTTGTTCTATCCTTTTTCGAACAATAACGCTGGTCGTCCGACCACTTTATGATTCGCCGTTATCTCCAGCTTCTCGTTCTTTCTGCATATTCTCTCTTGTCCCGTTCGAGAACAAAGCCAAGGCAAACAGCATACCTGTATCGACTGTACCTGATTCGTAGTCCGCGATACACCGGTCTCGAGCGCACTGCTTATTTCGAAGTGAAAACTGTACATATATAGTGGCTCATGAAAGCATTCGACTGCCTTTCGCAGCAGACTAATTTTTCTAAAGCCGCGCCAAGCGACTTGAGTTTTTTTGGCAAGTTGGAAGGATTTATTGTCCAGACGAAGGGAACAATGCAATCGATTGCAATTGGAAAGAAAAAAATTAGGATCACTCTTTACGATTCTTTTACCTGAGCTTGTGATGAGAATTTCAACAACACATTTTTAGCAGTTATGTCAGCTATGTGCTGACAATTTCATCGTGGCTAGAAGCAAAACCCGTTGAAAAACAGTCAGGAATGACGAAAATCGCGGTTTTCTGCAATATTTGTCCTGTGATTGCAATAAATCTACACTTTTATCCGTCTTTCGATGCCTGTTGCTTGCTTCCACATCAATCTATTTCGACTCTTTAAGATGTGTTGTTTAAACTTTTATTACAGGGCCGGATAAAAACGTTGTAAAAAGTTCCTTCTTGCTCATCATCTAGTCAACTAGTCCTTTTAGCCCATCAAGAAAGTTCGAGTCGTTTGATCCAGCTATAAAAAAGTTCTTCCGTTTTGAGGAGTGTTCGGATACCGTCGTGAGCCGCTGTATGTACGTAAACGTATTTTCAATAATATGTGTCATATTGTTTTTTCAGGATCTTTCATACCACAAAATTATAGTCTTCGGGAATCTGCTTCGGTAAATATAATCTAATTATTAATTTTATTTATTTCGTATTATAAACCAACAATAAAAACTAACATATAAAGCTTGCGCTGGAGTAACATGTACATGCGGACATGAGAGAATTTTCTTATGGAAAAATATGAACAAGAACGTTGCCAATTCTGAACTGATCAGAAGTAAATAAAATAATCGGCGGAAGATTACTCTACGCGTGAAAATGAATCGGAAACGTAGTTTGCTTCCGAGAAAAGTAAATTTGGCTAATTAGGCCAATTCTTAGCTAAACACGTGGAAACATTATTTTTTTATTTTTTCGAGTCAACTCTGTATATAATCGATATTTTAATCAAAGTAAAAATAAATCGCGATAATACAAAGATAAATGATAAACTGAATTATTAGATATAACTCTAACCTATGGTTTAATGTAATCTCCATCCTAACACATAGCCTAAACTGATCTATCGTAATTTAATTCAAATCTGGATGAAACCAAAGTTCTGTAAGAATGATAGAATATAATCTATCGTGTGAATTATTAGATAGGAATATGCGTGGCAAATAGAATGAAAAGCGCGCATAGATTATGAATAGTTGCAAGGATGAGAAAAGTATGTGAATCGCAGTTGCGACAGATTATATAAGATATCCGCGTAAAAAGCACAAAATTGTAGTAAAATAACACATTGCGTAAACCTTTTTATTGTAGATTCTTAAATTAGCCTAAGTTGGTATCCAGTTATATTTAATGTGTATTTAACAATTATCGGTTCTTTGTTTTCGCAACCACATGTGTTCGCTTTAATTTCACACGATAAAGAGTATCTTCTTATAAACAGTGTACTCACCACAGCTTTTCTAGTATTACTTTGATCAAGAATTATTCAAATTTTCAACATTATCTGACCAATCACAAATATCGCGAAATTAATGTTTATAAGAACAAAGTGTTGGAACAAAATGTCTGTTGGAAAGGTTGTACCGAGGTTGTATATATAGACAAGTCCCTTCGTTCAGGAACGTAGCCTCTGGAAAAAATGTATGTTTACAGAAAGCATTTTATTGGCAATGGGTGAGTTTGCCGCTCGTGATACAATTTCCTTTGCCCGTACTTTGTCTTTTCTCAGTGTCGAACCAAACTTTGCTTTCTAGCATTGGAATTTACGGAATTTTGCCAGTTGTCACAAAGTTTCCATGATCTGAAAATCGTGATAAGTATAATTTCTTCTCATACAAGCAAAAGTATCTTTTTTTTGCAAACTTTAGACAGTTCTGGTGGCGGAATCTTATAAGAAACTTGTCAAATCTCGCCCCTGGCTCTTGTTTCATTAATTTGCACAGGTATCTCTCGTATACTTGACTTTGCTTAGGAGAATAGTACTAGTCTTCCACTGCAATTTTGTACATGTCGACATCTGTATCTGCATCTGTATCTGTGTATCAGTGTTAAGAGTGTCATGGTAAATTTTCTGGAACAAGTCTGTATGTTGGAAAGTTGTTCTTACTCGTTCTGGCTTATCTATATTCGCCGCGAGAAGATAATTTCTAAATACTCTTTTCCATTTTTCCTACCGCAAAGAAAAGTTGAACCGCCTTCACACTCAATGGTAACCAGTTGGTCGATCCGAGAAATCTCGGCGATCTGCAAGGGTATTGCTTCGGTTTAGGTACCATTTTGCATTAACCAAATTATTTACATATAGTGAGTTATGTTTCTACTCATAGGTACCGTAAGCTTATCATTTCACCCGTACGAGATTCTATGTCGTTTATTTAATACTAACATTTGTAAATTTATTTCTTCCATATTGGTCAATGGGGTTTGTTTGGTGTAATTTCTGTTTCGACGTATCTGGGTATAATTTAAATTTAATAAAATATTACATAAATATATATATATTATATAAAAATATAAATAAATTATCTAAATTAGCAAATGAGTGAATGTACTTGATATAGGTGTAAGATATCAAATAAGTACTTGGAGAGTGATTTTGTCACAAATGTCACAACGTCACATTTTCTCACAATTGTCGTAATGATAACTATTTGTGTATAATATTTTATGAGTACATATATATAATTCCTAGATTAATCTAACTACAACGACTGTTATTTTTGGGTAATTATGTAAATAAACAAGCACTTACTGTTTATTGTTATTATGTCGAGCCTTTTAACTCTAGAAAACAAATTTTCACTCACTTATATGCGTACAACGATAATATACGAAACTACAACGTCCAAATTTTTCTTCCTTTACCGCCATTTATTTTTTTTTTTCTGTGATAGCAAATCACAATTATGGCAACAGTGGCAAAGCATTGTCTCTTTTTCTGAATCAGTAAACTGCGTATACACATCAATGCAAAACTTTATTTCGGTGCGGTTGGCGTGCATATTCGTCGTGTAAAACAAAAAAACACTATTTAATATAAAAATTCAAAATTTCTAGTAAAAAGTAATATAAGTGACATTTAGTGGTATGTTCCCTTTATACATCCAGTAAATACATACATTATTTGTCTTTTATAAAAACAAGAGTTTGAGAAAAAGAAGGAAGTTTGATTATTTGGACTATTTTCTTTGCTATATCGGCTATGCTCCGTACAACGTGTATTACTTTTTATAAATTGAATTGATTATTTTCCAAAATGCATCGGCTATTTCTCTAATTATCTTTTGGTAATTTTGAAGTTTTCAATAACGATAGCTTTTTCCAACAACGAATTGTCGATATTTTATCGAATAAAAATGTAATCCTTGCCCGTTTTGCTTTACTCTCTTCGTAAAATTTATAATAGGAGCATTTACCCTGCGGTCGACGTGTTACTCGTCGTTGCTTCGCTTTACCGGCGCACCCCGTAAAGGATTTTTGAAACCGAACTCCGCAGTTAACAGGTTAATTATTATTAGTGGCGTGCACGTACTTTGATCCACATCGGCGCTTGCTGCGTCTCGAGTTACTGCCGTCATCGTCCTTGCAAAAGTTACATTATGCGCTGTCTCCATACCTGGCAGCTAATAGAGTGAGTGTACGAACAGAAACGCACACTGCCCCTTTACTTCTCAACCTCGTACATTGAGTCACAAAGTTCTATATATGAACGACACTCTATCATTACTACACTAGATATACTTAATTACAAAACTGGTAATTTGACGTGCTCAAAAGTTTCTAGTCACTTTGTGTTACGAAAGAATTTCATGCTTTATCTCGCAATATATGTATATGGAAATTGTATAGAATTCAAACTACCCGTCAAGCGACATTTTTACTTTTGTTTTGTTTTACCGGCAGTCATTTGCTGAATAGAATAGATCACGAGAGAAGAACAGTAATTTAAGATCGATTCTCAATTTTCCAGGTAAAATTTGTAAAATTTGTAGTAGATTTGTTATTAACTGTTATTGTATTTAATTTCATTATTCTCAAAATAAACTCGATTTTCCAGAATCGATCGTCCGATTTACCCTAAGCATTCACGTTATTACATATATACATATATACGCTAAAAGTGAATTTTGTTAATACTTTGCGCCTCTAAAGTTCTGGGGTAAGCGTCGCGCGGTCCCTCACAATCCACTTAACGAAAGCTAACAATCACCGCCTTGCCCTTTCCGTGGCCAGATCCTTTAAACAAAGTATCGATTCTCTATTTTTTATTCTTTGACATTGCAACGTTCAGTATATG